ACATAACATGGCAACTGGGAAAATTTGTAGCATTCCTTTCATCTTAGAAAGGAAGATCTGAATTACATGCACCCCAGGAGAAAATCTCTTTCTGCTTGTGTGTGTATGTGCGTGTGTGTGTGTGTGTGTGTGTATGTATGTGTTTTGCAAAAGCACACTGAATTCCTAAGTCCCTCCTAAAGTTGGACATGCTGAGGTGAAAATTTACAAGCATGTGTCAGTGAAAGAACAAACATCACCATAGAAGCCATAATATACACCTCAAAAATTTATCAATAAATCAAAAGATCCAAGTTCTAGTCTGAGCACTCAGACCCCCCAGATATAAAGCAAGTAACCAATCCACAGAAGTTTTTTCCTCCTTTATGTCATGACTTAAGTTTGAAACTCTAACTTGTAGGGCACAATTTCTCTCCTCATACTCTTTGAGAGGTGTTTGGACATCCCTGAACTACTCTTTACCTCAGGGTATTTTAGGAGCAAACAGTTTATACATAGTGAGAAGATTCTTCCATAGTCTGCATTTTTAAGGTACTGCAAATTTTTGGAGACTTTCTGCCAATGTAGTTTTTATTGGGAAAGAAAGATTTAATATGACTGCACACTAGAACTATCTAAGGGAAAAAGTTTTTCAAAAATATCAGTGTCTAGGTCCTGTTGGGGCATTGGGATTTTGAAAAAGTTAAAAAGTGGTATAGTGTAAGAAAAATGACCCTCAGTTGGATTTTGCTCTAACTTGCTGCATGATCTCTCAATCTCTCTATGCCTCTGTTCTCTCTTTGGGGGGGTTTTATTCTTCCAAAAATAAGATGAACTAAAGAAAAAAAATACTTTGCAAAATGCAGTTAGCTACATGCAAGTGATATGGTAAGGGGAAGAAGCACAGAGTCAGAAAAGACAGGTCATTTGTTGGAAGCTGTTTCATCTATGTGTCCACTGGAGGACCATGCAGCATGACCAGACATCACTGATGAAAAAGATTATGCAGCTGACAGCTGGGCTTTTGTCACCTCCAAATGCCCTGAGAACTTTGGTCAGAGAAAAGATGTACCTCCCTTTATGCACAGAGTTTTCAGCACTCTGTAAATTAATTGCACTACTTTAATTCTATTTAAATGCCCCAAGGGTGTATCTCCTAACCCCATATGGGACTTGCCATCTGTAAATCTAGTGCACCAAACACTATTTGCTTCAATGGGATGTTTTACTTGGCAAGTGACCCCGGGCATGCCTCATCCACAAAATGGCAATCAGAGCAGCAGGCATACTACTCAGAAAGTACCCATGCCTCCTGAGGAGGATATAGGGGACTCTGTCTCCAGAGTGCTCACTTCCTTTCCTTCCAGGAACTTTGCTCACTACCTCTCTATTCCACAGGTACCTAGAATCCATACTGCCCCACCAACCTGGGCAATATTTGGGCTGCATGCCCCATCCTGCCCTCCCTTGCAGTTCTTCCCTCCGTTCAATCCTGCCAGAAAATTTACCAAAACTGGCACATCTATAATCGGTAATAAAAGTGAAACATTAAGTGTTAGGGAACCTTTTAGGGATGTACTCTTTGTAGCCAAAACAGTTATAACTCAGCAAATGCAGTAAAGAAAATCATTTCCTTTCTCATCTCTGAGACCCTGGGAGAAGACAGAATGCCTCCATTGTGACTTAAAATGATGTCAGAATGGGCATTGTCAGATTTAACAAATAAAAATACAGGATATTGGGCCTCCCCTGGTGGCGCAGCGGTTGAGCACTGGGCTGCGAGGCTGCCCGCAGCCTCTGCAGCGCCGGTTCGTTCCCCAGCCGCCGGCGAGGGTACCACCAAAAAATAAATAAATAAAATACAGGATATCCAGCTGGATTTGAATTTCAAGTAAATAACCACTTTTTAATATAAGGATGTCCCAAATATTGCACAGAACATACTTGAAAGGTACTGTTTATCTTAAATTCCAGTTTAACTGGCTGACCTATGTTTGATCTAGCAACTCCAGCTTGAATATACCTGCATGTTCAATAAGAGAACTGAAATATTACATTTTCAAACCAATTGTTTGAAGTTATGTAACAAAGCTATCAACTAAATTTAACTATTTGTCCCTTACCAAGAACTTAGCCAGTTATAAAGTGTGATGATCTGGAGCAAGAGAGTAAAGAGTGTTTATCACCTAGTGCTCCTGAAACTTCATCCAAATTTCCTCCATTTTCTGACAAATTCATCTCTTTTATTATTAAGTCCTGTGACAGTTCAAAAGAGAAGGATGTGACCAAGATCTCAAATATGAAATCATAAGGTGTAGGTGGTGTGGAGGGATAGGTGGGGTCAAGGTGCTGGGATTCTTGAGAGAGACCTATGTTAAATGCAAACTGGTATTCATAACATAAACACCTTTTAAGAGTACCATTGTACCATATAGTAGTATCACAAACTAGGGTTTGTCCTAGCTTACAAACATGTATATTAGGTAGAAATAGGCCACTTTCAGAATATGAACTTCATTGTCTTCAAATAACCCGTGTTCTAATGTGTGTCTACAAACTTGAATACCCAGTGTCTCTATATAAACTAGTCAAATGAGCTAGATGATTGTCAGATAATCATGTTACTTTTTATCTCTTGTAAGTAAATGATTGGTTCAAAAGCCACAAGACAGGGGTTCAAGCTTCCACGCTGCGATTTACAGATTTAGTCTTTTTAGCTGTATAGTTTCTTCTTTGAAGTTCTTTGAAAGAATTTTTGTCCTACATGCCTCATTGATTTTCTTTAATTTTCAAATTTATATTTTTGAAACTCACCATAAATTTCTCAATATGCATACAAGTTTGGATTTAATAAACATGCTATTTTCATTTTACTTCTTTTTTGAATTTTGAACTTTCAGCTATCAACTCCATACCCAAAGTAACTTTGTTGGTGCCTTCATGCTATGGCATCGTATTTATAACTCAGAGTTAGCTTCTCCCCAATTATTAAATATTTCTCATGTTTCTAGTTTTTTCCTGCTTCAAAAAGCATTATCATATCCATCCCTGCAGGCATTTTCTTTTGGTTTATCTCACTGGAGCGTGTTCCTTGAAACAGGTTGCTTAGCTTTTGTTCCTTATTGTCAAGTTTGAAGTTCCAAAGAGGTGGTGAATAAGGACTTGTATCCCTGGGACCCTTCCCATTTGTTTTTTGACCTTTTGATTTATCCCAATTAATAGAAAGGTAATAGTAATTGTTTAAAGCTTTTCATCAGGGTGACTGAACATCTTCTATATCTCGTTTTGTAATTATATTTCAACATATATAATTTTTTTCTATCTTTCTCTTGCCTCAGCCTTTCTAAATTATGGGTAATAGATTTTGTGTGTATATATATTTTTGTTATTTTTATCTTTCCATTGTACTTTCTCTCATCTTAGTTTTGTTACTATACATCACATAAAATATTTTACCTTAATATAATCAAACCCATCCTTGTCACTAATATCTTCTTCCACAGTTAAGATAGTCCATTTCTTTCTAAGGTTTTTATGGGAATGCCTAAAATGTTGAACAATATAATTCATCTGGAATTTATTGTAGTCTGTGAGAACCAAGATATACATTGAGAAAAGCAAAAGATTTAAAATTTTAAAAATCTATTTTGAGTGCTGCAGCATTAGCTTATAGGCTTAAGAAAGTCACTTAATCTCTTAAGACTCAGTGCCCCCTACTCAACTGAAGGCAGAGACTTTGTCTAATTTCCATTTATCTTCCCCACAATATCCAGCAAAGTACCTTTCACATAGGATGAAAATTATAAACTCTGCATTTAAGTTATATTTTTTGCATATTGCTTTCAAGTTATTCCAACAACATTTATTTAAAAATGGTTCATTTCCCAATTATTTATGTGATTGTTAGACTTAGTTATAGGTCAGTGATACCCAGATTTATTCCAGTAGCAAAGTATCTGGAAGCAATAACATTCTTTGCAATAGGGATATATTAAAGTTAAAATAATGAAATTTAAATTTTGATACGAAGTTAGATAGCTGCCTATACCAGACTTTAGTATAATATAAATACCACATGATCAGAAAGCATTATTTTTTTGTGCAAGTAATGTTAAACTTGGAAAAACTCTATCTAATGACTTAATTCCTTCTCAGAACCAGGAAAAGAATACCCATACATGGAACAGTAAATTTGTCAAGAACAAAGGTTGAAAACCACATCTTACATTAAGCATTCCCAGTTGAGAATATAAATAAAAGCCTATGATCAAGTGTAAACACTATATAAAGAACAACTGAACTGGGCTGAACTCCAGCTGAACCCCAAAACTATTTAAGATCCGTCTTTGAATTGCCAAGGTTGGAATTCCTGTATTATTAGAAAGCCTAAGGGAAAGTCCATGTCAGATCTCCAGTGCATGTTCACACCAGCAGCCTTCACTCTAGAAACTTCTGTTTGTTAATCTACAAATCAGAAAGGAGATAACACAAAATGCCCTCAAAACATCATGTTCTGTAGTACAGAATGTGGACTTCACACAGCAGGCAATAGGCGAGTACATTGGTACTATTAGAAAGGACCATTTCAATTCGGGTTCCTTGTACTCTGAAGACAATGCCTGTGTAAGAGGCTGGAATCCTGCCCTCTGCACAGAGTTCTTGAACATGTAGAAAGGAGCTCTATTAAGGCTATATTGGGACCTCTGTAAACAACATCATTTTGCTATACTAATATTTTTTCCTGGAGCTTACTTTTACTAGGACCTTTGAATTTAAGAAATGTTTCATGTTAATGTAAATGGAACAGGAAGGGATTATGCTAAGCAGAAATAAGTCAAAAAGAGAAAATCAAATAATGGAAGGTGTCACTTATATGTGGAATATAGAGGAACCAGACAAAGGGTCAAAAGCCAAACTCAGAAACTAGCCCTTGAAAGTTGACTGTAGAAATGAAGTGTTCACAGGTGGAGAGCAAGAGGGAGGGGCAGGCACACAGTGGGGTGAGGGCACAATGGACTGTGGTGTGGACTCTGGGTGCTTTGGTGGTGGGAGTGCTATGGTAATAGCACTGGAAGGAGAAGATCCTATACTTCAGAATACAAACAATGTAAACCAGTGTTTGAAGGAGAGAAAGACGACAGGAGGTAAGAGGTCTAACCTTGGGTCCCTGCTCTGCCACTTAATCTGGAATGAGTCATTCAACATTTAGGGGCCTCAGTTTCCATCTCTAAAATACTGTTTAGAATGGACAGTTCCTGAATCCTGGGTGGTTCTAGTAGTCTTGTTAAAACATAGATAAGTTCTAATTCAAGAAAAATAAAAATGCAGGGCCTCCCCGGTGGCGCAGCGGTTGAGCGCTGGGTTGCGAAGCTGCCCGCGGCCTCTGCGGCGCTGGTTCGATCCCCGGCTATTCCCGGTCACCGGAGGAGGGTCCCACATGGCGCGCAGACCTCTCCTGCCGCCCACTGCTCCCCTCAGCAGTGTACTTCGGTCCTTCTGCCTGCTCTGCTCCCCGCTCTGGCTCTGGTGAATTCTCTCACCCTCCCGCGCTTCTGACTGTACCCAGTGCATGTATAAACAAAACAAACAAACAAATAAATAAATAAATAAACATGCCTCTATTAAAAAAAATAAATAAAATAAATAAAAATGCAAACCCCCATAGTTTGGAAAATGATGATTTATTATTCATAATGGTCTTTGCTGAATCATTCTTCACTTAGAAAATTCCCCCAGAATTTCCCTAAATAGTAGAAATCTCCAACTTTTTTGAGAATAGCTTTTGATATAATTGGTCCAGTAAGTGGTATCTCTTCTCTAAACTGTGTTTATGAACAACATTCTTTGGCAGCATGTGCACATGTATGTGTGTGTGTGTGTTTTGGCAAGAAGTTAAGAACTGCTAAATTCTGATTCAGATACAGTGACAAAAGGACAGAAGATTTCACCAAAAAAGCATCTGCTGGAAAGGGAAATTAATCATGACTTCATTGGACACATGGTTTTTTTTAAAAAAAAAAAAAAAAAAAGATTTATTCACACAAGAACTGGAGCACAGGCCAAAGGTGCAGGCAGTGAAAGAATTCACCAGAAACAGAGTGGGGAACAGAACAGGCAGACTGACAAATACACTGCTGAGGGGATCAGTGGGCAAGACAGGAGAGGACTGCCACACCATGTGGGTAGCTCCCTGGTCTGCTGGGCATCAAACTCATGCTGCAGAGGCTGCGGATAGCTTCACAGCGCTGTGTTTAACCCCTTGTGCCACCAGAGAGGCCCCAGTGTACTCCTGGTCCAGGGTTCTGAAATAAGGACTAACACGGAGAGGTGCTCCATGAAATCATGCAATCCTTTTCCTTTCTCCTTCCTCTACCTCCAGAGATTGCACGGATCAATGACATTGTTCAAAGCATTTCAGTAAATACTAGCTCAAGCCATTTTCCTCTCTAAAATATATCCCACCAAAAAGTTTGCTTCTCATCTACCCAAGAGTGTGTGTGTTCCAGATGTCTTTGAACTCTCACTGTAGGATATGGTGCACACTATCCCAGATTGCCTTCATTGTCCTCAGTATCCCACTAAAGGGGCACTCACTCTGTTCTACAAAGCTGACCACCAACCTCTACTTCACCACAGTGGACAAACCAATTTGCTTTCTGTCACTCTTGACTGCTGATTCAGATAAGAAAGATGAAGGCAAAGTTACAATGACCCCTTGTTTACACTTAGCAATTCCTGCATGTGTGTGGGTGTGTGGGGGGGAGCTGGATGTCATTTCTCCTAATATCAGCAAAGTTTAATGTGCCCTTTAAAGTGGGACACAGTCTCTACTAAATGCATTTATATAGAGAGCAATTTTTCACTTAATTTTCCCAACACCTCAGTTAGTTTACAATAAAGTTTTGCTGTCTTGTTGCAGGTTCAGAAAATGGTCTTGCACAGAAGCAGAGAACACCTCGCCGAAGATGTCAGCAGCCTAAAATGTTGAGTAGCCCCGAGGACACTGTATACTATAACCAGCTAAATGTGAGTTCAAAGTGGCCATAAAGCTGCTTCGCCAGCTTTGTTTCCAGTTAATAATTCTGTTATTAATACCTGTTCCAGCCCCTCCAGCCCCACCCCCACTCTCTTATGCTCTCGTCTTGAACATGTGCTTAGGCTCTTTATCTGTTGCTTTCATGTCAGGATGTCTGCCTTCACGGTGAATAATTGATGTGGTTTATCAAAGACGAGCAAGATGCATGCTTCATCAGGCTCACTTGAGCCCTTTGATCAAAAAAATTATGCTGTGACTTCTGATATTATCAGCATCTGCTTGCATTCAACACAAAATCACTTTGAATTAAAAATTAACGACTTGCTGCTTTGCTTTGACTGTGTGTTCTTGGCCCTCTCCACAGGGAACTCTAGAATATCAAGGGAGCAAGAGGAAGCCAAGAAAACTTGGGTAAATATCTGTCTTCTTAGTTCTAAGCAACTGTAAACAGAAGGGGTCCTTTCTGATATTACAGAAAATTCAAAACTTTCCACAGAGACTTCTAAAACTATGCAGAGGGGATATTGCCACTATTATTGACACTGGAAACTATTTTTCACAGTAGCAAGTATATAAAACTCGAATCTATTCTGTCCAAAAAGGCTGGAATTGGCACCTAAAGGCAAATGTTATTTCTCATAAGTATCCCAGGGAATTGTACTTTCCTCATCATGGGAGACATGTAGCAGGTTATACAAACTCTCTGACAAATGAGAGCACTCCAGGCAGCCCAAATAGACCACTTCCAACCCCATTCCCCTACCCGTGAACCTTAAAGGTACACAAAGGAAAAGCTCCCCCAGCAGTTACACAGGGATTTTAAGAGTTTGTGATTCATTTGATTGCTGTCATTTCAACTGAGTGTGGCAGTGATGTAGATAATTGGTCCTAGTTTGAGAACTAGAGGATGTCAGAGGAGAACTTTCTCATATAGAAAGAACCAGAAGGACATAGACAAGTGAAAGACTATTGATCAGACACCAGTTCTGTGCTGGAAGACCCTGAGCTACCCTAAGCTGTCCTCCCCCTCCAGTGTTGGGACCTGATTCTGTTCCTAGTGCTCACACAACTTTGCTGCCCTGATGACTAGTGTCTTTTCTGCTATAATTCTTTTCTTTATTGCAGCCAAATCAAAGTGCTTGATGGGGAAGATGAATATTACAAATCTTTGTCACCTGTGGACTCTATCCCTGAGGAAGACAGATCAGCTCACCCTTTCTTTTTTTCCTCATCCTCAAAAGGAGCATCTTTTGCTCAGCATTGAGCAGTATTTCCTGCCCCCAAAGTCTGCTGAGGATGAGAAAATCATGGCAATTAACTGATTATTATTTAGTAAGAAAGTACTGCAATGTGGTCACATTTTTTGGGCACCTGATCTACGCTGAAGCCTTACTGAACAATTCCTAACCATTTTCTCTGCCTCCATCATACACCCACACTTGCTGTGCAGCCTGAGCTGGGCAGTCCCTCCTTTTCTCATCCCATGAATTGATCCCTATATGTCACAAAGCACATCTCCACCCTAGCAATAACTATCATTCGTGTCCCCAATGTCTAAGAAGGTAATAGTGATGACATTAGCTAATTGTGAACAATGCTATTTATTTTTCCCCGAAAATCAATCTACACAGAATCTATCCTTGTAGAAATCCAGGACGAGTCCCTTTCTACCAAAGCTCCCTTCCCCTTTCCTGCTCTAGCTCTCCCAGTGTCAGGGATCGCTAAGGGCCCCTCTCCTGAAGGAGTGCACTCAAGGTCTCCTAGGCCAAGTTAATGTGTTTAAGGAAGAAATCTAAATCTTTCATGTTTTTTTCTATAAGTCAAATGAACCACTGTCTTATCAACTATTATGCTGATAAAGACTTTGCCTCTTTATTCCCATTATCTCCGTCACTTTAGCAGTTAAAAGAAAGGAGTAAAAGAGAAAGAAAATTTGGATCTGTCAGACAGAGCTCCATTAGACTGTGGTTGGCTGTGGGAGAAGGACCTTGTCTTGTCCATATTTGTATGCACAGAGCCTCACACAGTGTCTGGCACTAAGTGAACATTCAGTAAATGCCCACCCTTGAATGAATGGAGAGACTTCACTTAGTTACACAAACATAGCTGACAGGAAAGTTTCTTTCAATTATTTAGTATACATGCTTAATCACTTTTCTTATGCCATAGTTCTGCGTTTTCAGTTAAGGTTAAGCTATCCTTGTTATAATGATGTTATACCATTATTATAGTACTCAATATGATGCAATACCATAAACATTTTTGAGCATCTACTACATTCACAATAATATGTAAGATTACTATGTGATGTAAAAACCCTACAACATCCTTCCTCTAGAGCAGAGGTTCTCAACACTTTTCTTACTTTGAAATACTTGACAGGGAGTGCACATGGGAATACCCAGATTTTGAGAAAAACTTGAGGAAATAGAAAAGAGTTGTTTACAGAATTTTAAAGGGGGAGTTTCAACAAACATTCATAATGAAACAAGGTAATTTAAAGATCTCAGAAATTATAGTTTTATAAGAAAAAGAAATAGATATAGCCAATTATTCTATACTTAAAACTTTTTTTAAAAATTAGCCTTGATTTTTTCCAAATCTTTAATCCAAAAGTAATGTTTATAAGGCTTGCGAGAAGAGCAGAAAAAAACATAAATTTACTGTTTAGGAGATAACATCTAAAACATATGTATTTTAACATTATTATTAATATATGCTTTTGGAAATTTCACTTTTATCGTTGATTCATCTACTTTTGATTTGATAATTGCTGCTTTTCAAATTGTTGAAAGAAGTGTTCATAACTTCCCACTTAAACCCATAATATAATTGTATACATGCCTTTCTTCAAATGAAACTGTATAAAGTTTAAGAGGAAATAGAAGTAATTGTAATATCAGAAGTTCTGCAATATTTAGTCTTTGTTACAACAGTAACTCCTAACAATACGTTAGAAATAGTGTTCACTATCATCTTATCATAGATAAGCAGACTATAGATATTATTTTTGGGTTAGTCATAATGCCATAAATCCAAAAAAGCAATTCTTAAATCCAGTAAATGAGAATGATGTGACCTAGAATTTCTTATGTGTCTTATTAGATTTATCAAAGTAGTATGCACATGGCAAAAATAAAAATCAAATAACCCCAAGGGTTTATAGTGGAAAGCAATCTTCTTTGTGTCCCTAGTAGGATCATACTATCTTAGTAACCATTTTTAAATTATTTCTAATTTTAATTCTTTACGTGGTTTCTATCATATCTCCAAATATTTTATATATTCTTGATTTTTATAATTTTATACATTGTTGAGTTATCACTTTAGATAATATCTATTCTCCCCCTCATAAAAGATATGCATTTATCTCAATTCTCCCTCCCCTCTGTCTTCTTTCAGTGCTTACAATTTTATGTTTAAGTTTTTGTTGATTGCCTTCTAAACTTTAAATTGTTTAAACACCTATTTTTATGCCATTGATTTTAAATAGTATTTCTAGAGGATACCTGGCATGAAGAAAACCAACAGATTGAATGATAATGTCAAGACCAATAGAACAACTGATCCTGGACAAAGTAGAAATAATGCTGAGAATAAAACAATATTTTGAAACTTTGCGCTGCTGTTTCTTCCTTTGTTTTGGCTCATCTACAGATATGCTTTCATCTACTTTGTAAAATTTCTTTTTTTAAAGGTTTATTATTTATGCATATAAGAACTGGGGTACAGGCCAGAAGTATGGGGGTATGAAAGGATTCACCAGAGACAGAGTGGGGAGCAGAACAGGCAGATCTTCTGAAATACACTGCTGAGGGGAGCAGTGGTTGAGACAGGAGAGGTCTGCCAAGCCATGTGGGCCAGCTCCCTGGCTGACTGGGGATTGAACTCCTGCTGCAGTGGCTGGTGGGTGATAGCTTGATAGCGCTGTTTAACCCCTGCACCACCAGGGAGGCCCATTTGGAAACTTTAAATAAATTGAATCATGTAGTATTTCATTTTGAGGGGTCTTGTTTATCTTATGTAGTATTTGTGAGATTCATCTACATTATGCATTGTAAATGTAGTTCATTCACTTTCATGACTGTATAGTATTCTAGTATAAGAATATGCCATAATTGATTTAGCCAGTCTAATTTTGATAGACAAATATGAATGATTTCCTATTTGGGAATATTTTGGAAATTGCTGCTGTGAATGTTGTTGAATATGTCTCAGTGTATATTTGCATGCATTTCTGTTGGCACCCATTGTTGTGCATTCTCAACAACTTTTGCTATTACCAGTCTTCTTCATGTAGATACTCTGATGTATGTATGGTAGAACCCCACTGTGATTATAGCTTACATATTGCTATTTAATAGTTGATATTGAATGCATTTTATGTGTTTAATGGTCATTTAGATACTTTATAATATGCCTTTTCAAATGGGCAAAATGTTGTTTTTTAAATTTGAAGAAATGTATTATATACTGTCATATATTGCAAATATTTTCTCCACTAGGTGGTTTGCCCTTCCAGTGTCTTAAAGTTCTTTTTGATGAAAAAAAGTTTGTAACTATAAGTAATAGAACTTACCAAACTTTTACTTTTTGATAGTACTGATTTATGACCTGTTAAGAAATCTTGCCCTCCCCAAATGTCATAAAGATACTTTGCCTTTAGGATCTTCTGGAAGAATTAATCTTGTATTTTCATATCTAGATATTTACCCAGAATTTGTTTTACAAATGGTATGTAGTAAGGGTCAATTTTTGTGTTTTCTGCATGAATAGTCAGTGGCCCCATCCCCATTTAATGAAATAGCCATCCTTTTCCTACTGCTCAAAAATCCAACCACTTATAGAAATCAAGTGTTTATTAATATGTGTCTAGATTCTCTATTCTGTTCCATTGATCTGTTTATTATTCTTTGTCTTGAAATTAAATACTTTACTTTTGTAAAAAGTACATGGCAGATCAAGTCCTCCAACATTAATTTTCTTCCCCAAGAAACCTCTGATAAGTCCAGGATTTTTGCATATTTTTAGAATCAAATAGTCAATGTCTTTATAAAGAAAACAAGATTTCTTTGGAATCATCTTTAATCTATGTCAATTTGGAAGGAATTGTCATGTTCATAATATTGATTTGTTTGATCCATGAACAGTTCTATTTTTCTATTAATTTAGTTATTCCTCTCAAAAATGATTTACAATTCTACATGAGAAGTCTTACATGTATTTTATCAGTTATATTCCTGTGTACCACAGATAACTTGTTATTTAAAAGTTGCCTTTTACTTTTTATTTTCTATTCATTGCCTGCTATAGATTGAACATTTGTGTTCCCCCAAAATTCATATACTGAAACCTATTCTCTAATGTGTTGGTATTTGGATGTGGGGCTTTGGGAAAGTGAATATGTCATGAGGATAGAACCTTCATGAATGTGACTATACCCTCATAGGAGAGATCCTACACAGCTCATTTGTCCCTTCCACTACAGGAAAAAGACCACTATCTATGAAGCAGGAAGCTCCCCGTCACCAGACATTGAATCTACCACTGCCTTGATCTTAGACTTCCTAGACTCCAGAACTGTAAGAAATATTTGTTGTTTAAGTTTCCCACTTTATGGCATTCTGGTATAGCACCCTGAACAGACTAGACATGCTGTTTTATGAAAACAATATTTTGCATTGCATTTGAGGTCCATCAACTTGGCTAAGTTTATTCATTCATCCCAGCAAAGTTATTAGAGATATCTTTGCATTATGTACATAAACAATTACACCTCTGCAAATAACCATAGATTTTTTTCTTCCCTTTCATTATTTATACCTTGCTTCTCTTCTTATATTAGTTATCTATTGATACATTAAAAACCATCCCAAATCAATCACGTTTCTCACAAGCCTATGGATTAGCTATTTCTGCTGATTTGAGCTAGCCTTGCCTGGACTCATGTTCAGCTAAGCAACTTTGCTAATATGTCTGAATATCTCACATGTCTAGGGCCATATCAGGGACAGCTAACTCAGTTCTGGTCTACATGGTTTCATCCTCCAACTGGCTATTATCCCCAAAGGCAGTGGCAGGATCACTAGTATAGATGGGGAGGAAATAAAGGGGAAGAGAGGGGCAGGGAGAGAGGTGTGTCTTGCTGCTCAGAACTGGCACATTGTCAATTCCACCATATTTTTTCTGTTAACCAAAGCAAAACACAAAGCCAGCTCAGAATGAAGAGCTGGATAAATAGAGTACATCTTTTGTGGGAGGGGATGCAAAGTAATTTACATTGCAAAGGGCATATAAATGAGAGAGAAGGATTGGAACTGTTTTTGTAATCAATCTTTCCCATTGGCCTAAGATTTCCGGTACAGAACTGATTAGGAAGGTTAATAGTCGACACTCTTTTTCCTAATGAAAGGAAATCTTTTCAATATTTTAGTATTAATCATGATATTCACTGATTCTTTCTATTCCTAAAAAGTTTTTTTCTTATAAGTGGATGTTTGATTTTTATAAAATGCTGGTTCTTTATATACTTAAATAATCCTATGGTTTTTTTCTCCTATATTTTGTTAATGTAATGAGTTACTCTGGTTTTATAATGTGAAACTAAACCTGCATTCATGAAATTCAATGCCTTTAATCAGATGTATTTTAAATTTTGTCCTAATTTACTATTTGACCTCAAGAAGCGGGCAGTTTGAATCACCTAGTCCTTTGTTCCTGGAAGCAGGTATCTTCTTCTATTCATTTCTCATGTCCCAGAAATATGTTGAAATCTCTCTTCTCTTCGTAATGCCCTCTTCCATTTTCATCATTATTTTGAGTTTGTTCTTTTTAGTTCTTCTTTATCATCATATAACTGCACTCTCAGAAAATAGAAGATACAAATATATACATGCTATATCTGCCATGTAACATGCAACCTGTCCTGCTTAAAATTACTTTTAAGTAAATCAAATTTAGAAGTGTCATTATTTGAACTATTATTTTTATACTAGCTTTATTGAGATACCATACAATTCAGTTTTAAGATGTATGATTCAATACATTTAAGTAAATTGTTTTTCCACAATTCATGACTAATCTCCAGATACTACTCTTTTAATACACTATCATTGAGTTCATTTCGGTGCTTACAATATAGAGGGGGAGATATGGCACATGCGTGGATATTTACAGTAGGAAATGGCAGAGAAAATAAATCAGAGGAGGGAGCATAAAAGAATGTTTCGTTAAGGAATCAGTATTTAACCTGAATCTTGACTAGTGGGTAGAGCAAAGGTAGGACAAACTGGCTTCTATAAAGTGAGACACAAGGACTGTGGGAATTAAAGAAAGAGGCCCTCTCCCTTCCCAACCCCATTCCAAGTGCCCTTGTGCAACTGGGACACCAGGAGTGTCCTGGAAAAGTCTAGTCACACTATAGCAGGAGGAACATTCAGGTCTTGTTCTGGTTTGGCTAGAACATAAAGTAAGTCATAAAACTTCGGCAGTTGATTATGAAGGACCTTGAAAACTGTGCTAAGGATATCGTACTCAATTTAAGAATATAAGAAGAGCAAGGCAAAACCACTGGAGATTTTTGTTCAGAGGAATGAATGCCATGAACAGAGTTGGGATTTGGGAAGAATTTGTAGGCTGTAGTGTGAAGGGGAGAAGAGAGAGACAATGAGGTCAGTTGGAAGATTTATATCATAGTTCAGCAAAGGTAATGAAAGATAAGCTGGATTGATAGAAGGAGAATCTAAAGGGATGTGAAATCAATATATGCTGCAAAAATATCACATAGCTATTCGGCGGTGAGGTTTAGGGAAAGAATGTGTGAAAGTCATGAGAATAAATGAAAGGGATAAGAGGGTCACAGAAACCTAGCAGCCTGCACCTCCAGAGGACAGAGAGACTTGTTGGGGTCGAGAAATAACTTTTTCCTTCCAAAAATGAAAGAAATCGAAGGAGATTCCTGGTGCCTAACTCAACCCAAGAGCCATCAGAATAGCAGTTGCTAAACCAGGGTATCTCCAAGTGCCTCCTGGCTCAATACATCAAAGCCATCTGGGGAGCTTGCTGAAGCCAGTGTTTTTTTGGGCCCGCCGGACCTAGAGGGTCAGAAGCTCTGGAGGCGGGTGAGGGAAAAGGTCTTTATTCCAAGTGATTCCCATGAGCAAACTAATATGAAAACCCCTGGTTAAATTTACATTTTAAGTGTATTTACATTCTTTAAGTGAACTGAAACACTGGTTTAAGCAAGTGTGGAAAATATTAGAATGGGGTTTATTGTCACTCAATTCCTTAAAGTACCATCTCAAGTGACAAAAATTTACCTTGGAATGAGTATCTTTCTCCCCTCCTTCCTTCTCTCCAAATTCCCTCTCTCTCCCCACTCTTCATCCCTCTCTTCTTCCTTCCTGCGACATAGACCTAGCACCAAAAACTACGAAGTAACTGCATCAGTGACCACAACAAAGACTAAAGGTCAGATTCAGAGCCATCAGATTCAGAGCCAGGACTAAGCATTAACTCAAGGCTAAGAAAATGTCACTGAAAAGATAAAAGCAGAAAGGATAAAATATTTACATTTTGTTGTAAACATTTCTTTACTATTTAAACATATATTACCTTCAATCTGTAAAGATTAACAAAACTGGCAAAATTTATCCCTGAAGAGCCTCCCTGGTGACACAAGGGGTTAATCCTCAGCACTATGAAGCTATCAGCCACCACTGCAGCACAAGTTGGATCCCTGGCCAGGGAGCTGACCCACATGGCACAGCAGACCTCTCCTGTCTCCCCCGCTAGCCCCCTCAGCAGTGCATTTCAGTAGATCTGCCTGTTCTTCTCCTCACTCTGTCTCTGGTGAACCCTCTCACACACACCCCCACACTCACACACCTCTGGCCTACACTCCAGTTCTTCTACACAAGAACAAATAACATAAAAATCTTACAAAAATTCTTTAAAATAAATTATTTTATTTTATAATTCTTTAAAATAAAAAAATTAATAAAATACACCAAAATAAAGGGGAAGGATAAATGAAAGAGCATATAAGAACATATGTTAAATCCTGATCCACAGTTTTTTCTGCTTCCTTCTTGACTATATGGAAAATATATGTTGATGCTAAGACAAACATCACACATTGCCAGGGAAAGTCTCCTGCTAAGTGGAGGAACTAATTCAGCCTCAGCTAATGGTAAACAACTGAAGGGGGAAATACTAGAAAGAGATTTAAATCAACAGGCTATCTATAAATGATGAATATTTTAAGTCATGCAAAATATAAAGCCTATATGGGAAAATATTTAAATGCAAATAGAAAACATTTCCTCCTGAGAAAGGAAAGTAGTCTCCAAGTGGGCAGAAAGGGCATAGAGAACTCTTAATCATGTACATTACTGTGTGGTAAGTCAATCCCTGTTTAGCTATATGAATGAAGAATAAATAGCAGGACATCAGTCCAATGTGTAAATCAAAACTAGCATTAGTATTAGACTTTGGACTATATTTTGAGTCAATTATTTTAACAGGGATGGTGTAATCTGTTCTGAGAATTCACCAGAATTCAAACAAAATATTCACTTAATCAGGAAATATTTAGCAGATCTTTATTTTGTACACTGTCATGGTGTGACAAAGACTTGGGTTTTATAACAACTTAGAATATACTCCTTCCCATTTATGTAACACTTTTCCAAAATAAATTTATCTCATTGTATTCATCAATTGAGTGAATCTTTATCAAACTCCTACTACGTATTAAGCACTGCCTTGGGAATCTGCCAGTAAACACATAGATAAAAACAAACATGAAAATCTCTGACCCCTCCCCCATGAAGCTTCAGTTTAGATTGGAGGACGGCCATTAGCAGTAAACAATAAATGGATCAACTGCATAGTATATCTAGACTGAACAAACATTCCAGTTTACTCAAGATCATCTCAGATTCTGTGCATTATCATGCCCCCCCCATTCCAATTGGTGTTTCCTTTTGCCCTCAAAAGTGTTTTATTTGGTTATTAAATTATATGTTCACTCTATGTTTGAAGATGAAAAGGGCCTTGGAGAATAGGAGTGCAAAGAATGAACTGCAATTTTAACAGGGTCAAGATGGTTCTGAATGTACAAGAGATATTTAAGTTAAGATTTGAAGGAGCTGAATGTGTTGGCCAAAAAGATGATTTTTAAAATTTATATTCTGACCACTGGATCACCATCCATTTTTCTTTCATTCTGGAAGGACACTATTACTAAGGAGAGTAACTACCACTGCTTCCAGTGCTTTGACAAAACATTTCATATTTTCAGGGCACCCATTATATCCCTGGGGGTAGCAGCTTTCTATTAGTTTCCTGTGGCTGATCCAAGAAATAAGGCATAACACAGATTTCCAGAGAAATTATGATGCCATGAAAGAGTTTGAGAAGATGAGGAAGGCTGGTCTCTTTCAGAGTACAAAGTAATTTTGGAATATAAGAGAATTTCTTTGGGTTAAGCTTCACTAGAACTATCTTCCTAAACTATGAAACATGAATATATAGGCTAAGGAATAGTTTCTATTGAGATAAACAATTAACAAAAATATAC